AAAAAAAAAAAGAATACACCTTCCATTAAGGTGTTACAGGCAATGTTTGTAGATTTTGCAGAAAACACTCTTTCCGAATTTCTTTATGGAGACATACTATATCAATAGTGGGTATATCTTCCGCATGTTTCGGATATAATCGTTGTTTTCAAAAATTCACACGACAATAAAGAAAAAAAAGCTCGACAAAGGTTCTACAGAAAAAAAAGGACGAAACGACCAATGTTTGACGGGGAGAAGGGGTTCTCTTTGTGATCTCACTCAACACGATGCTTTAAACCAAATACAGCAGCCCATTCCTTTTTTTTTTTCTTTTACAGTCAGTGAGAAACAAAGAGCCACTTAACCCGCATGAGACGGTGAGTGACAATCGTACTTTTTTTTTCCTCCTTATCTTATAGATCACACAAACATTGTATGTACCCAGTGACATAAAAATAAAATGTCCTTGCTACTACACAACCACTCCGTAAATAGATGCTCCTGTACCAAACACAACTGCAACGACCCCGGCAATGAGGAGGATATATGTGCACACATAATTCACCACCCCCACCTGTGTCAGCCCCCAGTTCCCACAGTACATGCGGTAAAGAGCGGGCAAAGAAAACCCGAGGAGACCCCCACATAGACTACCGAGAAATCCAAAAACTTTATTTACTGATGGAATAAACAGTCCCAGTACAAGAGCTAAAAATGACATTGTCCCGCAAAACGTTATGTGTTTCCACCTTGGAAGTGTATTAATTTCCCAATGAAGAATGTAATAGCACGAATCTCGTGCAGGTTGAATGCTGAGGGCGAAACCGACGCAGAGCTTTATTACCATTCCAATGAAAGACACAGAAAGAAGAACATTATTACTGACATCATAAAGGAGTAAGAGACTCTTAGTTGCCTCTGAACCGAAATCGGCGTAACCAAAAAAACCCGAAATGACATAGACAATTAAACAAAATGACATGCTAAATGTTGCGTAGAAAGTCATTTTATTTACTGTTGGTCTTACCATTTCATCATAAATCTCAAGGCAGTTTACTTGACACAAGTATGCGAACATAAAGAGAGAAAGTCCTTGTATTGCTGAATTATCTTTATTCCAAAGTTTAACATCATCTCTTAATTTGCCATTTTTTAGACCGTTCTGTAGGGAATGTACAACAATACAAGAAACGAAGAAAAGTATACTAAAAATCGCTATCACCGATACATATCGCAAAGAATTAATACGCTTTGGTAAAGACATTGTAAACATACCTATTAGCCAGATGATAATATTAACGATTCTTTTACCCCCTGTCGTACGTAGGAAAGGCGGAAAAGACTCAGTAGTGAAGGCAGCATTTAGAATATCACCGATAGAAATTATATACGCAACACAGGTTCCGAATGTAAACAGCCACATCAGTCCGGCTGTTATCAAGTCCCATCCCTGACCAAAAAAATCTTTTGCCATAGCTTCATACGAATTAAGACCAGTCAACTCACGTGTCTCAACAAGTAATCGTATAGCATAAATTGTAGCTAATGTGACCATAAGCAAAAGTATTAATGAAAAAATAACACCACAATAGTTAAACGCTGAAGGCAAACTAATAACACCAGCTCCAAGAGTAGCACTAGCGAGATTGAATACTGTCGAAAGAAAGCCACCGTACGGAACCAAATTGAGCAATAAGTACATCACCCGCTTAAGTGAAAATGATCCAACATTTCTTTCCAAAACGACGTTTTCTTCGAGAAGCGGTGAAACGTAATCTCGAGCAATCACATCACAAGATTTACTTGTCTTCATCCTCACTAAAATAAGTGGACTTTAGCTACAAAAGAAAAACATTATAATTATAATTATATTAAAAAAAATAATAATAACAAATACATGCAAAGAAAAGAAAAATAGCTTCAAGATAAAGAAGAACATAACCCAGGAAAGGAAATTTCAAGTCGATCGCATCTAATTTTCTCCACATGACCCAATTAAACTACTCAGCGCCCACTCAAAAACCACTCAAGAGCTAAAGAAGCTGCCTTTGGCAACGACTTACCCCAACGCACTGGAGAATTCATCACTAAACAAGAAATTACAAGTGACTCTTTTATGACAAGAATCACCCCTTCAGTACAATGTAAAACTTCGTAAAAACCATCGGATAAATGAAATTCTAAAAAATCCTCTTCTTGACGAAAAGAAATCAGATAACATTGACGGGAACGATCACTATGTGTTGACATTGGATAAAAGCAAGTAGCACGAATATCAAAAATTCTCACGACCTCTTTTACCCATGGAAACCTTTTTAAAAGGTCACTTTTGGTAAGAAAAACAGCCTTTTCAAAAATTGATCCGGCTTCTATATAATAGCTTGGAGCATCATCTCTATTAGAAACAAGAAGATTTGATCCATCAGAAAAATGACAGCCAAAAAACTCGAAATGCATTTGATAACAGAGAACAACCACAGAGCCCCTATGCATATCTTTCCAAACAGTGTCAGGTACCATTACTTTGCTTATTAGAGCTGAAAATGGATTCAAAGAGAGCCTCTCACCACAATCAATACACAAATCTCTTCCACTCCTTGCACAGTGAAAAAAAGGTCCCTTTGAAAAGTCCTTGGAACACATGTCACAGGTATACCCAGGCTCGTACTCCGGCTCCAGATCTATTGGGAGAATTTCATAATACCGAAAAGTACACTTATCACACCCCTTCATACCACTAGCTGACTAGAAAAAAAAAAAAAAATGCGATAATAAATATAGAAAAAAAAAACATAAGCTGATTGCACCAAAAGGATACAGAGATACCCAGTATACATGAAGTCGCGACACACAAACAGCAAAAAAGAAAAATAAGAAGACATTATACCAATATAAGAAAGAAGGAAAAAAAATATATATTTAATTTATTAATGAACAATAATAATTAAAAATTAGAAACAACTAACCCTACTCTATCAAGAGAATCATAAACTCCAAATTCCAATAAAATCGTAACAAAGCGATTGGAATTATTCCTATCCCCCTCCCTCCAGAAAAAAGACGGCAGGATTATTTGGCAAAAAAGTTTAAGCCAAAAAGAGAGGAAAAAAATATCAACACATGTCGTAGACCAATATCAAAGAACACAGATAAATTACAAAAATCATATACTGCTGCATCAAAGCATCGCTAAACTATGATATTCAAAGACGAGGAAAAAAACACGATACGATCACAACGTCAACTTCACCCATCACAAAAAAAAAAAAAAAAAACACCAGAGCAAAGCCAAAAAAGAATCAAGCCAAACGCCAAAATAGAAAACGAAAGAAAACCAAAGACGCCAACAAAAGGAATAGCTCCGAAAGAAAGAAAAAACTCGATCAACACGTCTACCGCGAAAATACCGCCAGGGAACTCTTCCGGTTCACAGATCAATCCCCAGCGGGGGGAACCGAGGGGAGGGAGGGTGGGAGGTGCCGGCCGCGGCGGCCCACCCCGTGATTTTTTTTTTTTTTTTCGTTCCCGAGACCCGGCCCCAACCCAGCCAACCACCTCCCACGCCCAAACGTCGCGAGGCGGTTTCTCATGTGCCCGGCGCTTTTTTGCGGTTGCGGCGCGGGCGGTGGTTTTTTTTTTCTTTTTTTCGGGGGCATGATCGGGGAAAGGGGCGGTCTCCCCGGCACTTCCCCGCGAGGGCGGCGGGCGAATTTATTTTGTTTTTCTTCTGCTTTGACTTGTATCAACCGAAAAGTTGTGGTTCTGCAGAACGCCATGGGGTGAAGAATATTTATATATGACAATTTTTTGCCCCTTATTCTTGGGCAAGCGCGGGTGCATTTCTACGGATATCATTCGGATACTTTATTTTTTTTAGATGAATGTATTCGTTATTAGTGACTTTTCCTCCATCATTTTTTTTTTTTTATTGTTTGGCAATGACTTCTGTAATCTGAGCAGCCCTTTGCTTTTTTTTTTTTTTTTCTTCAGCCGGAGGGATTTGGTATAATACATTGATTTTTTCTTTTTCACCTTTAACCTTTTCTGACTTTTATTTTTCTTTTTCACCAAAAGTATAGTTAGAAAATGGATTCCTCTCCAGTGAACCCTTACTTGCTTTTTCAAACTGCAAATGAATTCCGTCCTGCTGATAAAGTTGCATACGCACTGAAACATCCCAATGAACAACAAAATATGAGAGGATTAAAAACCCCATCACAGATAATTGAATCTCACTCTCTTCTTCGGTCACTTGAAGAACTTCGACGTATAGTTGGGGTTCCTGTTACTCCAAGTACAGGAACTGCATTTAACACTCAACTTGCAGGGTCCTCATACAATTCTCCTGTAGTATCACCTGCTCCAATTTTTCCGGAAAAACATTCTGTAACTCTTTTAGAACATACGGAGGATTCAGAAAATAATCCATGGGACAATATCTGTACTGGAACAAGCATTTGGCGTTGGCCTGTAGAAGTTTTATATCAACGATATCACTTGTTACTTGCGATCGATTTTGGTTTTTCAACCTTCTCTGTTTCAGAAAAAGGCAAAGTCTTAATCGATCATGTTCCCCATGCCATAGAAGCCTTATTTGAAGTAATTGAAAAGACACTCCAAACACGTGAGCAAGAAGCTTTTATTATTAAACGTTGGGCCTCCTCTCACCTAAAAGAAGCTGAATGCGAAAACATTATGCAGCAAGTATGGAGGCCTTCAATTGATGTTTCTATAGTCCTCATTAATGTACCAAGAATGGAATCCGGAGCTCTTTCTTCGGTAATGCCAAATATATCATTCTCAGAATCAATGGGTATGACTGCTGTGGATACTGATCAGCCGTCTTTACTTCCTCCAGACGCCACGTCTTTCCCTGCTTTTGATTATGGTGTTCCTAATGATGCTACTAGTAATCCACTTTTGATTCCTCTCATGCCAAAATGTGATGCACTAGCATTACTACAGGATAAAACCTTTTTACCAAGGCTAGAAGATACACTAAGAATGTATGAAGAGGCTTGTCGTTCAAGGTTGGTTGATGATTGGCCTGACAGGACATTATTTTCTTCTATGGAGTATCTTGTACGTTTAATACCGGAACGATCACCGGAATGTACTAGTCTTGTTCTCTTTACTAACCACGATACAGGGGGATCATTAGACAGCGTTTCACTTTTAGAAAGCTCTGTTAGAAGAAAAAATATCATCTTATCTCTCCTCTTCTTAAGTGAAGCAACTTCTATCTACAATTCTCATACTAGTCCCCTTTCACGGTTTTTATCAACAGTGGGAGGTTTTGGTGTTCATTTTGATTACTGGCTTTCTTTAGCAACTCCACGGTTGAATGTGGATTGGTGCCGTCGATTTGGTGGACCACGTTGTTTGGCGCAACAGTTGTTTGTACAATTGGAAAACAAATTTCCCGTATGTTTAATGCGTATTTCACAGAATATGCCAACTACGAGTGTAGAGAGGTCAGGTGACCCTTATGTATTGTATAACTCTGATAACGTTCTGGGAGACTTCACACTCCGTCATGTAAAAGATGTAGTTCCAATACTTCGTTGTGTGGCAGAGGCACGTCTCAACCAAGGGTGGAGTGTAGTGATGAATTGTGACCCATCAATTCCTCATGTGGCTCAACTTCACGCACGATATCATCATAATCTTAGACGAGGAAAACTAACAATATTTTACGAGATAGAAATAAGCCATCCGGTGGTTTATCGTCGTGTCTTAGTATATGGTACCAAAGTTATTGTAGACCACTTTCTTAGAGCTAAAGGTGAGGAGAGATCTGTGTCATCTACTTTAACAGAAGCCAAAACTGGTTGGTTGACGTATCTTGTTATTGTAAGATCACAGTTACATAGTTGGATGATCGCAGAACAAGTAGCTCTACAGTTTCTCTTAGCCACAGAGCAGCTCAGAAAACCATGCCCACTGAAGGAGCTGCAGTTACTTTCTTCTCATGAGGGGATATCTGCTGGGTGGTTATCACATTGTAGCATACGTTCTATCGGATTTTTCTTCAGATGGAAAGATGATTTGCAATATTTCCTTGATGCTTACGGTATGATGCAGCGAGCAAATATCTCTTCTATTGCAGTAGTGGCAACTTGTGTTATGCGATCTGCTATGCAGAAACGGTACCGTCTTTTTGCTGATGAAGAAGGGGAGATATTTATTTATAATGATGAAAAATATCCCCGTCATATTGTTCAGTTATTTTTACTGAATGATATTTCTAATGAAGGACACGATATTGTTTTGGCTTTGGGATTTGAGTGTCGTTTTAGTTTCTTTTTGTCTACTGTCACTGATGAGATACATATAATTGAAAATATTATAGCAGATGTAGAGGAAGAGATTTTATCCCATGTTGAGTTTGGAGGTTCTGGGAGTACTAATTTAAGGCTTGTTGTGGAAGCGAGTATAGGTGATGCAAATGGACGGGCACTCCATCTTACTCTTTCTACACTCTCACCACAACGACTAGAGTTGGTGTCAACTTATAGTGAGCCTTTACAAGGAATCCGCAAAACTACTTTAAGAGGTGTGTCGAACCGAAAGATTAAGAATTTTCATTCACCAGTAAAGATACCGATGGTAAAAAGAATTCGAAATGTTCAACAACTTACTTTTCGTTGTTTTTTGACACCATATGTGGTAAGTCCATGGTTACTCTCTGATGCCCTTGTTTTTCACTGGGTGATTGGAGCGTTGGGAATGTGGAGAACTTTTTCTGAATCCTCTTTTAACTTCTTTGTTACACGGCGTTTGCGTGATGGTTTTCGTTTGCTTCACTGTTTGCCACAACGCAAAGCAATACTTTACGCTACACGATTATGTGATGGACAACATATTATAGAATTGTTTGACGTTATTGAGGCACCTCTAGCAGATGGTGACGCGGATCTAACTGCGCAGGTGATTATATTTAGATATGTACGCCCCTTTAAGTTTGGTATTTCTTCTTCTTATTGTCATAGCCTAACTTCTGATATTTCGGAGGATATTCAGATTGCCACAGTACTTCATACTTTCACAGTGCTCTCCTCTTCGTTATATACTACAACGGAAAATTTAATATCACCCAAAGAAGCTAGACGTGGGTTTGTGCAGCTAACACCGACACTTGAATCACTTCTGCCATTTTTGTCTACCCGTCATGTTCACACTATCACGTTATATTCTCTTCCTTCATTAGGTGAAAAAGGAAATTATGAGCTGCAGGAGGCTGTCATTCGTTTTCTTTCATCTTTGGGTGATCAATCAGCAACAGTTAGCGCAGATGCAGTACACGAAACTTTGCAGCAGAAAATGTATGGTTTAGAAAAAGAAACAGAATTAGAAAGTAATAATTTGCACGAAAAACAGTTTTTCTTTTCTTTGTTGGCACGACGAGAGTGCAATTACTTGACTTTTCTTCTTGTGCCTCGAATACCCAAAGAGATGTTGCGAACGAAAACAAATGGAGTAACTATCCATATCATTGCATTAGATGCAGCAGCTCTATACAGAGGTCTAATGCGGCTCTGTCTTCGAGCAGAAGAAGAGGAAATAGATGAGAAATTCTTACCTGATTCTTTAGATACAAATCTATTTGAAGCCATCAACAAGTTGCTCACTTGTTTTTCTTCACTTTATCAAGCCTGGCGTTTACTTGAGGAACAACGTGACAGTATGGAACGTCACGCATCAGAAGAAGCGGAGGTTGCACAGGATGTTGT